CTACAAAGACACTAGAGAAATTGACAAAATCCGGCTCCCCCTTTCCTTTCTGAATCAGGAATGGTTGTGTCACTTCACAGCTGGAGAGAAACATCAGCTCTAAAGGTGAGCTGGCATCACCAAATTTTCTGGAGGTTTGCACCCTCCTCAAGGCTGGAGTTCTGGCTTTCCAGGATCTCCTTCACCTCTGCCTGGCAGAAGCAAATGGAGATCTTGTCTGAAAAGTAATTTCTAATTAAATAGCATAGGCGACATTTAAAAAGGGTTGGCAAAAGCTGACTGTATTTTCATTTCCTCACAAAAATTTCTACTGAAAATTAAACAGCTATCTAAGTAAGTGTAGTCCAACAATTTACATGTACACAGGCTGGCAAAAAAATTAAAAAGAAAACTCAAGATCCATACTTAGAAAAATCATACCTGAAAGTTTCACCTCACTTGTTCTCATTTAAGATTTCATATTTACACAGATAGTAATGGAACAGTCAAGATGATGCAGTAATCAAAAGAAACCTGGGTAATTTCTGTGAGAAAAACTTCCCAACGACAGGACCAGAGCCCCTGAGACTCCACCTGTCCCAGCTGTGACATCAGTGCTCTGCCCACCCCTTGAATCCTCATGTATGTCCCCCTGGTTGTCTCACCTAATAATCTTTTGCAGGGGCTGCCATCCAGAATGGATTACACAGGCTGTCTCTCCCCCAACAATGAAATTAACAGGAACATCACAAAACATGTTCTTCTATCAGCAGCTGGTAAGCCACAGTGCTGGGAGGCAACTAGTCAAAGCCAAGAGATAAGTCCTTGGCAATAAGTATACTATACTTAGGGAAAAGAAGAAAGCAAAAACCCTGACAAAGGGTACTGACAAAGTAAACAAACCTTGCAATGACTATCAGAATTGCTATACACTGTCTGAACCTCTGATTCTAAAATTATTAAGATATATAACAATTTACCTGTAATATAGTGAAGTCAGATGATGAAGTATCTAAATTGTTTATAGATTCTTTGTCCTCCATCTGTTAAGTAAATGGAGAATACAATTTATTACATTAACAATAAGAGAACATAATGGTACATATGAATAATGAAAAGTTAACAACCATAAAAATCATTTACAACAAAATTTTAAACACTGTAGAGAATTACAACAAGATTTAAGTATGCTTCTCAATAAGACTAAAACAAATGTTGTATGTAAATATCTACCTGAAGACAGACTAGAAAATCCACTAAAATGGTATCAGTGTGGGTTTCAAGATGCAAGCCAAACAAAGAAAAAAGTTTTTTAAAGTTAAGCAGAAGAGATAACAACTGAGCAGTAAACAGACCTTCCAGGTGATTGGAACACCAGGTTTGGGGCTGCTCTTCCTGGAATAATGTCTAGAACCATGTTGCAGAATGGACTCATTGGCCACCACTGCTCACCCAAGCACAGATGCTACTGACACTGGGACTGCTGCCTCTGGAGAGGCTACCACCCAGAATGGAAAGGCATCTCTGAGAACCCTGCCTCCTATCATCGACTTCCAAATATGAGTGTTGGGACAGGAGGAAAACCCAGGGCCCCCCCCGCAGGGGAATAAGAACAGGTACACTAAGCTTCTATTCTTTTTTTTTTTTTTTTTTTCTTTTTT